AAAAAATCCTTAGTTAATTAATTTTCATTATAGACAGCTTTATAAAAGTATAAAAGCTCTCATAAAGTATTTTTCTGAGGTCTGTCTTATCAGGTAAATTACTGTACACAGTGTATTCATTAATTTTCATTTTCATGTAGTGGCTCTATGCCTTCATAAAGGACGTACTTTTCCTTTGTTTAAGGGTATTTGGGCAGTTTATTCTCTGTTATATTCTGTACAAGTAAATACTGTACAAGTACAGTACAGTATTTTCTGAGGAAATACTCGTACTTATTTTTTTTTAACCCCATTCCCGATAACTCGGCATTTTCACAAACTCGGCCACCCTTCGGTCCAAATTAGGTCGAGTTTTCGAGGTTCTACTGTATTATTTTTTTTTTGGAAAAAATTTGGAACTTTTTTGGAATTTTTGGAATTTTGGGAAAAAATTTGGAACTTAATTTACTTTACATCATGAAATAAAATATTGAAATTACAAGAATTTTTATATGATGAAAGATTACGATAACGATTGTTTCGCAATAATGGACTGCTTTATTTAATATAGCAATAATGGTAAAGTATGACTGACATTTACCATTTCTAATCCATATTACATGGATTATAAGCTGCAGTTGTAATATCTATTTATATGTTCTATTCACCTTTTTTGATTGATGTCCACTTGAGTTTAACAACATCCATTCAATTTATTGCCATTTTCAAAAATGCACAAAATACTAACAATTGACATTTTGTCAAAGTAACTTTTATTTTTAAGCTCTTATTTTCTGTGAGAAATTATTATTTAAAGATGAATATAGTAAACTAACATTCAAAAAAATTTTGTAATTTATTTTTTATTTAATTTATAATGAAGACAAAAATAGATGACTTCTTTGTCCTGCTTATATTACAGTCCATTCTAAGATTTTGCAAACTAATTATAAAAAAACAATTTATTTTGATATACAAAAATAATTAGGATAAATTTAATTGTGCTCTATAACAGCACTGTTGCTTGTAAGTAAAGTGTGCCAACCAGATATGCTTGCCTGTAAATATATATTATGGATAGTGTTGGCAATATTAAGAACAAAGACAAGCAGGGTAAAGTAAGTGGAGGAAATAGTAACCAACCTAGTCCCAACACTCCCAATATAATTATATTGTAGTATGTAAACTTGCCCACTGAGTGCATGACAAAATACTGATTAACAAAATACTTACTAAATATCAACAGGATACTTATTTATAAAGAGGAAATTAATATTTCTTTTAGTTCTTCATGATACATTTTTTTTTAAAATGGCAATAACTTGCTTGAAATTTACATCAAATATAGATTGTTTTTGATTGAAAGCATGTTTTCATTAATGATAAAAATAAAATATTGAAAAAATTATAATAAAAAAATCTTAAAGTATTGTTTACAAGTTCCAAATTGAATGAAAAACTGGCCTTTGCTATAGTAAATTAATAAGTCCTATATTCAATATATTTTGAATTTTTCGGTCTAAATTCAGTTGTTTGGAAGGTTTTAGTAGAAAATGAATTGAATTTTATATTTAAAATTAAATTTGTATTTAAAAAATACTTATATTATTAATAGTTTTATGCAACAAAGTAATAAATCATAAATAATATGATTATACGAAATATACCTGGTATGTTATTGTTATTATGCAAAATAATTTAATTATTAATGTTTTTATAGAATCATGTATTATTCAAATATATTTTACCTCCATATCTTCCACTACACTCTGTAACTGATCTCTCAATTCGCCAAATGCATCAATAATTAAACCTATAAATAGATAAATATTCAATAAAGACTGGGAAATAAATTGAATTTAAGTAATAAAAGATATTAAAGGCGCACACAAATCTTTATAAATTGGAAATTATATTATTAAATATATAATAATATTATCCATGCTCTAAATTTTTGATTTATAGGATTTAATAATAAAGAATTCTTGCATTTAATATAAAATTCATATATTTGTCTATAGTTGTAAAGTTAAATTTCAAAATATTTAAATTATTTACATTGGTGCATTTATTGAATAATATAAAGCTGTTAAAATATAAAACCTATAGCTTCAAAAACTTCTTTATATGGAATGCAATAAATCACCATAATAGACAATATATCAAATAATATAGAAATTTGGGTAGTTTAAGCCCATAAATATTCTAAGATTCATGTATTCTAGTACAAAATGGTTTGTGTGTATTGTTATGTAAAATTATTATTTCCATTATTATTATTTACAAATATTTTTAAAATATTCATTAATATATTTATAAAATGGTTATAATGTATAAACATTGATATAAAATAAAATATCAAATTTAAAGTCTGTTTTAGTTAAAAAATTAAATTTTTAAACAAACTAATTCTGAATCTTATTTTTTAACTCATACATCACTAACTAAAGGATAAACAAGGAAAAATATTGAATTATTTATAAATGATATTACAATAAATATGATTTGCTATAGAATTTTCAATTAAATGAATTACATTTCTTATACTTATGTAATTTTTTTTGTACATAATTATTGATTTTTTGAAATTCTCATAAAAATTTTTGTGTTTTTGACTTTTATCTGAAAATTAAGCAAATACTGGAATTCTTAAAATTGTTTTTTAAAGACTTAAAGATGCAAATCATGTAACATTTCTTTCCTTCTGAAATCCCGAATAAGCTATTAACCCTATACATATTACAGTTCAGTTGGTTAAAAAATTAAATATATATTTGGTTATTACTTATATAATTTTTATACAAGACTATACATGATTTATAATATATAATATTGCAAATTATATGTAATATGCAAATTTTACAGTACCTTGAATGATGGCTAACAAGATGACAATGATAAAGAAGAAAAATGTGATGTCAAAAATAATTCTGTATAATTCATAGTCATCTCCATCAGGTGGCTCAATTTCATCACCTAAGAATTAAATTTTAAAATTTTAATTAAATAAAAAAGTTTAGTGAAAATTTATCTATTAATAAAAGTTATTTACCTATACCACCACCTGCTCTTACACCTTTATATAAATGGAAGACAAAACACTAGGGAAAAAATATTCAGTATTTAAATTTTTAATTCAGTGTTATCAAATAATAATGATAGCAATCTGAAATTATTTATCATTATCAGATATCATATGATATTTTCCAAAGACATTATTTGAATAATGTTATCAGAATATCAAATATTGAGATTTTAATTCTACATGCTATTCTACAGGATGATTAATTGTATAATACAAACAATTTATCTGCAAATGAACTGCTAGAATTCATCATTGAATCTTAATTCCAATCATATGTGTTTGTGACTCAGTTTGTTTGATTTTGTACTGTTTTACTGACAAGTGATCATATGATTGTAATTAATCTAAATATTCATAGTTTATGTATTCAAATTTCACTTCATAAACAATCAGCTAATAGATGTTAGAATAAAAGTTTCTTATCATATATTATCAGTGATAATTTTTTCAAATCATATTGTAGAATATTGTGAGATTAGCCTGGGGTACCTTTCCTCTAGGATTGTTGGTACCACTTATTCGGCGGCTGGTTGGTGAAACTAGTTCTCGGGTCGTCTATAAGAATGGCTTTTCCTAATTCAAGGAAAATCGAGGGCAGAGGGACTTACAGTTGTATATATCTAAAGCAGAACTAAAGGATTTCACAATTCTTCGTTCCTACGTCAGGATCCCGACACCAGTTAATCAATTTACCGTTACGTGGATTAACATGAGTATGGAGATAATATGGATTTGATTCAGATGTTGAATAAGAGACATTTCTTTAACATAGGAATAAAAGAATTTAATAAACTAGGATAAACAAAAGTATACAAAATGGATATAATCCAATAATTAAAATGAGCGATTGAGAGAGAATATGGGTTCAATTAAAATATATGCTTTGAGAGAGAGAGCTCACAAATTCATTGATAATCATACTACCTCAAAGTTTACTTTGTCTTTATCTTCATCTGTATTCTATGATCATACTTCGTTTCATGGAGAGGTCTTTATTTGGCATAATATTATAAGTTCTTCTTTTCTCCTAAATTAACTCATTTTTATACTCGATTGGATATGACTAAGGGCGTTGGTCTTATGGAGCAAATATGGACTACGTCGGTCTTCTCTGAAATCCTTCGACGTACTCCCCGAATCATGTAGATCTTTGACTATATCTAATGATTTGTGACCAATCAGCTTATTTGTATTCTCCCATGTGAACAGAAGGAAAGGGGAATTATTGAGGGATTGACAATTCCCAGGATGGTGAGATTTGTGATAGATAACTGGGAAACAAAAGGATGTCTCTACTTCCGTTAAAGGAAGTGGCTCTTTTATCAGTTTTCCCTCGTTAGAAAAACGATATTTTCACCTCAAAATGAAAGAATATTTTACTTCATAATTTTAACTTTATATTTAAATTGTTAATTAGACCCAGGGACTATTCGAATCTCACAATATCTAAGAAAAGCTAACAAAACACAAAAAACATTGAACTGATATTTGTTGTTGAAGGAGAGAAAAATTATTGTGTGTTTGTTTAATATAAAAATTATTTTCTTTGGATTAAATAATGTTTAAAAATACTATAAAATTCAATTACACATAAAATTAATTTACAAATATTTTCTCCTTTTGTNTGCTTTCAATGGCAATTCATTGGTCTGAAGGTAATCCTTGATTCTTGGAGCACAAACTTCAACCAGCCATTCTTTGAAAGAGCCTGTGTGACCCATGCCCTTTTATTCATTCTCCACATCACTGGCATTTGTTTTGAATACTTTAGGGTTCTCATAGTGAGAGACAAGATGTGGGATAAGTTTCATATCACCACTAGCATTATCTCCCAAAAGTAAGGTCAATTGATCTTTTATGGGCCCAGGAATATTTTTCTGATCTTTCATGATGTAGGTATGATTCAACATGTGCTTCAAACATTTTTCTAGCATTCTCTTGAATGTCATACTAATTACATCTCTTTTCATTTCCCTTTCTTTTATCCAAACAAAAAGCAATCTCTCCATTTTTTCATGGATGGCACAGATGTGATTTTTGTTACTGCTTTAGCTGCTTGAGTCTTCTTGATTAGCTAAGATTGTGCCTACTGTATGGCTTGAACAGGTCTACAGACCTGTTCAAGCCATACTGACTGTATAGCAACTTCAGACATCTCCCTACTCTCTACCTTGGCTTTTATCTCTTGCTTGGTTTCTATGGTGAGCACTGTTCTTGACACTAATTAAAATTATGGAGCCAAAAAAGAGTAAAAAAAAAAAAGGAACTGATAATGAGTTCAGAAAAGCACTTACAAAATTCAGAGAAAGGAAATCAACTAGCACACAAAAAATTATGTAAATGTGAGGCCTGGATGGAATTTGAAATTTGGTGTTAAGACGTTAATGAATACCTGATGGGACAGTTAAACTCTCCCCTTTCGAAAATAAAAGCTGATGCAAAACTTAGTCTTCAAGAGACTGTTGGGAACTCTAAAAAATTAATTCTGTCAGAGAGGTAAACAAAAGGCTGGGATTACTAGGAAAAGTTTCAAAGTTTGGAGGAATAATATTCGATTGGTATCAAGTTGAGCATTGATGTCAACGTTTCCATGCTCCGAATTGTTACCTGGAGACAAGGGAACATCAATCGATATTTGTTATTTTACATTGCTTCTTCTTGTGTTTGTTCTGTGAGGTGTTCGTTATCTGAACATAAAAATCTTTCGCAAAAGTGTTCATTGTCCGATTTGTTCACAGTCCGAACTGTTCGTTAACTGATCACCCACTGTATAATGAACAGTTATTTATTGTGACATTAAAAATTGCAGCCAGGCATTGTAACAATCATATTTTTAATTTAAATAAATATATGCTTACCACCTCAAATTAGTAGTGGCTTGCCCCTGTACATCATACTTTTCCTTTAACAATAGATAGATCACTGGCATGACTAACACCTTTCAGGGGAAAATTTTTGAATTGAAATTATATGAACTTCTGATGCAAACCAAAAGTTACATTTAGTTAATTGGGACCTCCTGCCCCTAAGGTTTCCATATATGATCTTGGTTTTCATCTGTGAGATTAGCAGCTATATTATTGCCTTATCTAAAGCTACCAATGATTATATTCAGTAACAAAGAGTTGAGAGTTGAAGTCAGTATTCATCAATCAGTATTCATTTTACTTTTAAGTGGATAAGACTCACTTAAGTAAAATAAATGCTGATAGAGAGCTGAATTTTAAGTCAGTCATAAAACTAAACCTGAGAAGTCACTGGCTGAATGATGAATGAATAAATAAGATGATTTCTTTTTTGCCATTACAGGTTGAGACTCATTTATCTCAAATGCTTGGGTTGATTTGAACTATATTATAATAGCAATTTGTATAAATTGTAGACCTTAAATTCCCACAGATGTCTGTCTGTCCACCTGTCTTTCTTTAATCTCAAGAATGGAGTTAAAGAGATCAAAGCCGAAACCAGATATGGAAAGATTAGGAAGCCACAATTAACTATATATGAACTTTTGAGGCAAACCAGAAGTTACATTATTTCAATTAAAAAATTTTCCTCTGAAAGGAGTTGGATGACTGGTATGACTATTCTAACAGGAAAAGTATGGTGTACAGGGACAAGACACTACTAATTTGAGATAGAGAGCATATATTCTAAATTAAATAAATTAAAAATATGATTAAAAATTGCAGCCCAGCATTGTGACGATGACACAATAAATATTTGCTCATTTCATTTGACATTTTTTTTTGTTGCTTATTTATAGATGGTTATTAATATTTTTGATAGACATACCTACATGAATATCTTTTAAAAATATTTTCATGTGTTCAAATATTGCATATTTTTTTAAATTTTACATGTATTCCAGTAAACATGTTAATACCTTGAGTGTATTTTAATCCTGATTTTTTCTTTTTCTCATCTTTCTCTTGTATATATGTGTAAAATATATATATATTCACCCTTCCATGAAGTTTACATTCTGGCAGAAAGGGCCTAGTGAGAACATTCTAGTGCTTTGTGGTGTGGCATGTTATGTCAGCACTTAAAAACCTCCAAAATCCAAGAATTTTTTTAAATTTTAGATAATGAATTCTCAACCTGTATTATCATATTTTTAGTAATAGTAGACAAAATAAAAAGTTATTTTACTTTTTCAGAAAATTTCAGATGTATTTTGTTATCTCATTGCGTAATACCATATATAATAGTGAGTTTGTACATTAGTATTTTACAATCTTATGAATAGCCAATAGTCATTCAAAATGGCACCACTTTTTCAAGCATTGTTTTATGTTTCTTGGCCAGCCAATCTGTAGAAAACATCTGAAATACAGCATTAATTATCTTGTGAACTGGAATTTGAGTTTCTCTCAGATGTGAGAAGGGTCATTTCTGGTTTCCCTCATTTAAATTGGTGTGCCACTCAATTTAAGAAAATATACAATAAAACACATTGTACCAATAGTTTTTAAACTTAGTTTTACTAACATAATTATACATTATGTTCTACATACTGTGTTTTAATTATATTTAATATGGCAAATAAAATAAAAGACAAATCCTTTACACTTGCACCAAATTCAAAGCTACTAATAAAGGGGGTCTAGTACTCTGAAAAAATTAAGATTTTTCCAGAGTACTAGACCCACTTTATTACACGGCTTGTCAGTAGTTAGCATATTGTTTCTCAAATAGATAAAAGCTTTCAATATGAGCAAGTTTGTAGTAATTGTAAATTGACCCATATTAGAACCAAGCCCTTACTTAAATAGAAGTATTACAATTCAGTATTGTACCTTGTATATATTTTATGTAATGTTATCAAAAGTACTTGTGAAGTAAATAATTTCTTTTCTTAAAAACATATGAATATCAAAACAGTTTTTTTATGTTTTATTTTTTAAGTACATGTCTGATATGAAATGTAAATTACATTTCATATGTTCGATTAGAATCAATGTTATTTTATAGAAGATCTCAGATTTTAATTTGGATAATTTTATGATTCAGAGTATTTTTGTTTTTGCCTCCTCTTCATAAGATTTTCAAATATAGAATTTTTCTTTCTTTCTCAAATTTTGTTCAACTTTACTTATTATTAAAAAAACTGCAAGAAGTGCACGAAAAAACTTACATCAAATATTTAAATATGTTATATATTAACATGTTATATCATTGGACTGAAAGTATACATATTAAATATATGTATACTTTCAGTCTCCATATAAATAATAATTTCATTAACACTACTTATTAAATTTTTATTTTACCTGTCCAGTATACTCTGTATCAGGCTTATTTATAAGATGCATAAGAAAGAACCTGTAATATTTAAATAATAAAAATTTGAATATTTGACAGATTAACAATAAGAAAAAACTATTTTAAATTCTACTTACATATAATTTGCCAAATTATGTTCCTTTTGGACATGAGTGTCAAATCCATGTGGAACTTTATCAAAATAATCTTTTCCAATCCCACAAATGAAACAATTTGACTAAATAAAAAAAATAAATTCATTTAGATATTGGTTAGATTTAAATATATATAAAATTTTTGCTGCAAAATTATATTAAATACCACTGATTCTCAAATCCAAATATGCAAAAATTATTCCAAATTTCATAAATAACTGATAAGAAATGAAAACATTAAAAATAAACTACTCAAATTTTAATGAAAATTAAAATTTTATGTTTTATGAAATGAATGTTTATCTGAAAAAAATTAATGTGTCTAATTAGTTGTTAAATCTGTAGAAATATAATGTTGTTATAAAAGTTTTGGATGACAAAGCTGGAGAGTTGCAACCACAAATGTTTATAAAATAGAGAAGAAAGTAAATAAAAAAAATTTAAGACACAACATATATAACAATAACAGCTTAAGACAACTGCCCTTAGTTTTGTAACTTGGAGAACATTTCTGATATTAACTAATTCCTTGCATTGTTTGTATTTTTCACATTTGTTTATTTCATTTCCATATTCAGTGACTTTTAATTGTTATTACAGAAGGGCTTCATTTCAAAATTATTTACTCACTCATTTTGTAGTTAAAATAAACAATTACACTAGTTTCCAAAACTAAAGCAACAAACACACAATCTGTGTAAAATCAACACCATGAAATGTGAGTAGCTGAAACATGTGCACTTTGCTGATTTACATATCATGAAAGTGGTATGCAAATGACACACAATAGCATCATATCTGTGCAATAAAATGTAATATGCTGTATATACAGTAAAATTATTTGACAAACAATTTTTTGATACAAACATTCTTCTTCTTGGTGCCATATCAGATTTCTGACGTTGGCGACACCCGGCGCAGATTAGCAAGTAGTTAATAATACGCCAAGGTGTTACTAGGGAAGGTTAGTACCCAGAGTGGTTTTCCGTTGCCTTCTCTGGGGCATGATGTTACGCGAGGGGAAAGAATGCCTTCCGGGAGGACTTTTATGGGGAACTGGCCTCCTATTTAGTCATTATCGGCAAGGAGAAAACCCAGAAAACTCCAAGCAGCCAGCCTGTCCAATCGCGGCGCGAACCCATGACCGAACTCCCAGTGTTTAGGGTACGAAGACCGCTCGGCCACTGGTGGGCATACAAACATTGCATAATACTAAAAACAATTATATTAACCAATAATATATTTGACAAAGGAATTTCAGGATGAGATTGATTTAAGCCAAATATCTACTTTTTCAAACTCATAAATTAGTGATGATTTCTATGTTTCAATTATATCAATATTTAATTACAGAAGTATACTACAGCTAAACTTTGTTAATATGACTAGTCATGGTAACCAAAAAATTGTTCATGTTAAAAGCATTATAATTCATATTATAATTTTTTATGCCAATGATGAAAAAAATTAGAAAATGCAAGTTTTAGTATAACCAAAATGTATATGCAGTTTTTTTTTAACTATAAATATCAGTTAAACTTTTATTGACTTCAATGTTTTCACAATTGTGGTATCAATTTCATTACCATTTCTGCATTTTTTAGATTACCGTCATCCATTTCATTCAAAATTTTTATTTCTTTTTTTCAAGACAAATTCTGAACTTTACTTATTTTATCACTTATACAAAATGAATGATAAGCACTATGATGGTGTATCTACAATAGATGTTGTAACCAGCATTGTCAAATAATTTTTAAGAAAAATTGCAAACTTTTAAAATATTAAAAAAAAAATCTCCTGAACATTAGCTTGATGTTAAAAAGAGTAAGTAAAAAAATCCAGCAATGAGTTGCTTAACTTTCCTGGCAACATTTGGTGGTGCTATCTGTTATTTTAGTTTTTATGATATTTTAGTTTAAAAAAATATACAAAATTTTTTATTATAAAATGGCCAAAAGCTTAATTTTGAGGGTTTGGATGGGTTTTATAAAAAAAATGTAAATGCTAATAACAAGTAAAATCATCATTAAGTCTAATAGTACTGGAGATAAACACAACATCCTTTTATCTTCCCATCCCCTTGACCTTTAATCACCAAATTAAATAGCATCAATCACAAACTTCCCTGCAAAATTTCTGAAATTTTTGACAAAATGCACAGGAGTTATTAAGCTTCAAACAGGTTGAACATAATCATGCCCCCCCACACCCTTACATCCATATATACAGAAAAAACACCCAAATTTTTTTGCATTTCTTAATGTTTCAGAGTCCTGAGCCCAAATGTAAAAATCTTGAGGTGGTCATTTTTTGACCAATCACCACACTTTCCTTATGTTTTATATATACAGACAGGAAAGTAAAAACAGAGTTTTCAAAAGTTACTTTTTATTATTTTGGCATAATGATATCACTTATTTTGCAATTCTCTCAATCTAGCTATCCTATCACAATTACAAATGAACCAGTTTCCAATTATATCTTTTCTGTGGGTAAAGAGATTCATGCTTAAGAGAACAGTTATCTCCAGTCAATCTGCTTTTAAATGTTCAATAGAAAAAATTAATTTCAAAGTAGTCTTTTCACTTTGTCTCATACCACTGCACTTTTAAAAAATGCAAATATAAGATCTGAAAGACTCCATTTATTAAACTCTTTAACTAGCATGAACAAAAACTAAATTCAGAAAATTTGAAAAATATTAGTTTAATGTTAAGAGAAGGAATTTCTTCAGATAGTGAGTATTAGTTCATGTTTAACATGACATTCTGTTTGAAATGCTTATACAGTAGAGTCTCGAAAACGCGGCCTAATGTGGACTGAAGGGTGGCCAAGTTTGTGAAAATGCCGGGTTATCGGGAATGGTGTTAAAAAAGGATAAGTATGCGTGTTTCCTCAGAAAATACTGTACTGTACTTGTATGTATTGTTTGCTTGAGAATACAACAAACTGCCCAAATACCCTTAAACAAAGGAAAAGTATGTCCTTTATGAAGGCATAGAGCCTTTATTACATGAAAATGAAAATTAATGAATACACTGTGTACAGTAATTTACCTGATAAGACAGACCTCAGAATAGCATAAAGCTGTCTACAATGAATATTATCTAGCCAACTCCCAAGTCCTTAGCCACTGCACTGACACTTTCTCCGTTATCCAGTCTCTTTAATGCCCGTAACTTTTGCTCCATAGACATGTTCACTTGTTTTCTTTTAATGGAAGATGCCATCGCAGAGTACTGTTGTTGTGATGGAATCGTTTAGATGTATGGTTCCCGCGCTTTTCCTCTTTTTCAAACAAGCAACAGTTGTCGCCATAGAAATGCGGATCGAGAAACGACCGTTTGTTTTGAAAACAGAATAGATGATTGGCCGTCGATCATCAGACGATCGCACGGACCTCCAATAGGACTACGAAGCGCTCATTGGTCAATCAGCGCTATCTTCATTCCATATAAAAAGATGAAGTTTAAATGGGATTATTAAGTTCGCCTAAGTTTGTTTTTGCCCTGCCAAGGTGTGGCTGAGTTATCCGGAGTGCCGAGTTTTCGAGGCTCTACTGTATTAAGAAAATAAATTTCATATGTATTACAATACCTTTCAACAAAGAATTGGAAAACAATTCATGGTAACACAAATTACTTTTACGAAGATTCAACTGTATAAATAACCTTTATAACAAAAATGATGATTATACAACCTATATTTCGTTATGTTGTTCNTTTTGATTGAAAGCATGTTTTCATTAATGATAAAAATAAAATATTGAAAAAATTATAATAAAAAAATCTTAAAGTATTGTTTACAAGTTCCAAATTGAATGAAAAACTGGCCTTTGCTATAGTAAATTAATAAGTCCTATATTCAATATATTTTGAATTTTTCGGTCTAAATTCAGTTGTTTGGAAGGTTTTAGTAGAAAATGAATTGAATTTTATATTTAAAATTAAATTTGTATTTAAAAAATACTTATATTATTAATAGTTTTATGCAACAAAGTAATAAATCATAAATAATATGATTATACGAAATATACCTGGTATGTTATTGTTATTATGCAAAATAATTTAATTATTAATGTTTTTATAGAATCATGTATTATTCAAATATATTTTACCTCCATATCTTCCACTACACTCTGTAACTGATCTCTCAATTCGCCAAATGCATCAATAATTAAACCTATAAATAGATAAATATTCAATAAAGACTGGGAAATAAATTGAATTTAAGTAATAAAAGATATTAAAGGCGCACACAAATCTTTATAAATTGGAAATTATATTATTAAATATATAATAATATTATCCATGCTCTAAATTTTTGATTTATAGGATTTAATAATAAAGAATTCTTGCATTTAATATAAAATTCATATATTTGTCTATAGTTGTAAAGTTAAATTTCAAAATATTTAAATTATTTACATTGGTGCATTTATTGAATAATATAAAGCTGTTAAAATATAAAACCTATAGCTTCAAAAACTTCTTTATATGGAATGCAATAAATCACCATAATAGACAATATATCAAATAATATAGAAATTTGGGTAGTTTAAGCCCATAAATATTCTAAGATTCATGTATTCTAGTACAAAATGGTTTGTGTGTATTGTTATGTAAAATTATTATTTCCATTATTATTATTTACAAATATTTTTAAAATATTCATTAATATATTTATAAAATGGTTATAATGTATAAACATTGATATAAAATAAAATATCAAATTTAAAGTCTGTTTTAGTTAAAAAATTAAATTTTTAAACAAACTAATTCTGAATCTTATTTTTTAACTCATACATCACTAACTAAAGGATAAACAAGGAAAAATATTGAATTATTTATAAATGATATTACAATAAATATGATTTGCTATAGAATTTTCAATTAAATGAATTACATTTCTTATACTTATGTAATTTTTTTTGTACATAATTATTGATTTTTTGAAATTCTCATAAAAATTTTTGTGTTTTTGACTTTTATCTGAAAATTAAGCAAATACTGGAATTCTTAAAATTGTTTTTTAAAGACTTAAAGATGCAAATCATGTAACATTTCTTTCCTTCTGAAATCCCGAATAAGCTATTAACCCTATACATATTACAGTTCAGTTGGTTAAAAAATTAAATATATATTTGGTTATTACTTATATAATTTTTATACAAGACTATACATGATTTATAATATATAATATTGCAAATTATATGTAATATGCAAATTTTACAGTACCTTGAATGATGGCTAACAAGATGACAATGATAAAGAAGAAAAATGTGATGTCAAAAATAATTCTGTATAATTCATAGTCATCTCCATCAGGTGGCTCAATTTCATCACCTAAGAATTAAATTTTAAAATTTTAATTAAATAAAAAAGTTTAGTGAAAATTTATCTATTAATAAAAGTTATTTACCTATACCACCACCTGCTCTTACACCTTTATATAAATGGAAGACAAAACACTAGGGAAAAAATATTCAGTATTTAAATTTTTAATTCAGTGTTATCAAATAATAATGATAGCAATCTGAAATTATTTATCATTATCAGATATCATATGATATTTTCCAAAGACATTATTTGAATAATGTTATCAGAATATCAAATATTGAGATTTTAATTCTACATGCTATTCTACAGGATGATTAATTGTATAATACAAACAATTTATCTGCAAATGAACTGCTAGAATTCATCATTGAATCTTAATTCCAATCATATGTGTTTGTGACTCAGTTTGTTTGATTTTGTACTGTTTTACTGACAAGTGATCATATGATTGTAATTAATCTAAATATTCATAGTTTATGTATTCAAATTTCACTTCATAAACAATCAGCTAATAGATGTTAGAATAAAAGTTTCTTATCATATATTATCAGTGATAATTTTTTCAAATCATATTGTAGAATATTGTGAGATTAGCCTGGGGTACCTTTCCTCTAGGATTGTTGGTACCACTTATTCGGCGGCTGGTTGGTGAAACTAGTTCTCGGGTCGTCTATAAGAATGGCTTTTCCTAATTCAAGGAAAATCGAGGGCAGAGGGACTTACAGTTGTATATATCTAAAGCAGAACTAAAGGATTTCACAATTCTTCGTTCCTACGTCAGGATCCCGACACCAGTTAATCAATTTACCGTTACGTGGATTAACATGAGTATGGAGATAATATGGATTTGATTCAGATGTTGAATAAGAGACATTTCTTTAACATAGGAATAAAAGAATTTAATAAACTAGGATAAACAAAAGTATACAAAATGGATATAATCCAATAATTAAAATGAGCGATTGAGAGAGAATATGGGTTCAATTAAAATATATGCTTTGAGAGAGAGAGCTCACAAATTCATTGATAATCATACTACCTCAAAGTTTACTTTGTCTTTATCTTCATCTGTATTCTATGATCATACTTCGTTTCATGGAGAGGTCTTTATTTGGCATAATATTATAAGTTCTTCTTTTCTCCTAAATTAACTCATTTTTATACTCGATTGGATATGACTAAGGGCGTTGGTCTTATGGAGCAAATATGGACTACGTCGGTCTTCTCTGAAATCCTTCGACGTACTCCCCGAATCATGTAGATCTTTGACTATATCTAATGATTTGTGACCAATCAGCTTATTTGTATTCTCCCATGTGAACAGAAGGAAAGGGGAATTATTGAGGGATTGACAATTCCCAGGATGGTGAGATTTGTGATAGATAACTGGGAAACAAAAGGATGTCTCTACTTCCGTTAAAGGAAGTGGCTCTTTTATCAGTTTTCCCTCGTTAGAAAAACGATATTTTCACCTCAAAATGAAAGAATATTTTACTTCATAATTTTAACTTTATATTTAAATTGTTAATTAGACCCAGGGACTATTCGAATCTCACAATATCTAAGAAAAGCTAACAAAACACAAAAAACATTGAACTGATATTTGTTGTTGAAGGAGAGAAAAATTATTGTGTGTTTGTTTAATATAAAAATTATTTTCTTTGGATTAAATAATGTTTAAAAATACTATAAAATTCAATTACACATAAAATTAATTTACAAATATTTTCTCCTTTTGTTCCATTACATAGTTTTTCAAACTTTAGAACTAAAGTTACAGACAAAAATAGCTTTATTGATTATTAAATATTAATATATTTATAATATAATAATTTCAAAAATCTCAATGACAAATGTTTTTCATTAAAATGTACAGTAATTTATAAATAATTTATAATTTTCAGTTGGTTGTACTCGTTACATTTTATACATTCATAGGGTTTTACTATTAAAGAGGGGGAGAAAATCTAATATCACAAGACTTTTCCTATCGTAATTAAAAATAAAAAATAAATCATAAATTTACCGTTAACATATTATGACATTTTTGATCCACTTGTTCTTCTTCTTCTTGGACATAAAATTTTCGGAAAAAATTAAATGCAATTACTGTGTATATGTAAACAATAATTGTTAACAGCATAACTGTTAAAACCAACTGTAATAATAAAAAATATTTTGAATTAAAATTATTATATTTTAAGTAATAAAAATTTTAAATATAATAAAATCAATAAAAAATATAAAATATGAATGTTTTTTTGCTTATATTTTATATTGTAGAAATATAAATACTCAAAAATTGATATGATGCTTATTCAATTGTCAAGACCTACCTAACATTATTATAACCTACAATATTTTCAAAGATTATATTTAAACGTAACTAGGGTATGGTCAATGTGGCCCCCGCCATAGGCGCCGATTTAATAAAGACACAAAGGAGAAGGTTTAGAAATAATATGTATTTGAAATTAATAACACAAAAAAACTTTTATATTTATATTTATATAGTATTTAAATGTCATTAGATAATTTTTTTACAATAGCATTTTTTTAGAATAAAATTACTATTTTTTAATAATAAAAATTAAAAAAGCACCATTTTTATTCTTGGCCATAGGCATCCAAAATCCCTGTATTTAAAGCATGCAGAATTCAATTATGTGCTAAAAACCTTTTGACTTCAATGGCATGGATTATAAAATACTACATATAATCTTCAATAATTTTTTCATATCAAAAGTTGTCTAAAATAAGTTTACTTTGTGACATGATGGAATAGCTTTATGTTTATATATCAGGTATATACAAAAGACAAAAGGTACCAGTACCAACAGATCCATTCACTTCTACTTGTGAATGGAATAGAGCATATTTTACACATCTGACAGTCCAACAAACAACTCAAAACCTATTTTAATCAAACATTGGCTATTTTAATCAAACATTACACATAACATTAATTTACAAATATTTTTTCCATTTGTTCCATTCAAGTTTAGCTTAAAAGGTTTTAACTTAAATAATAATGATTAATAGTATATGACTGACATCTCAATCAAAAAGACAAGTATTCTTAGTTGAGATGTCAGAGTCATATACTATTAATCAGATATCAATAGTGAAGAAGACAAGTTTGTTCCAGTGTCAGATCCAAACTCTTATAAAGGTGTAATTTAGTCATAATCAGATCAAATCAGACTTTTGTTTTCAAAATGCTTAAGATCAAAATTTCTACAAGAGGAAATTCCTAATAATTATATACAGTGGAGTCCTGTACACATTCTACAATATAGAAATTGCATTATTTGAGACATGCATTATCAAGTTTAAACCAAGGCCTAGAAGTTGAAGAAAACATATAGGGGAGGACAGGGAACTTTGGCACGATAAGAATAAGTTAAATTTTTTGTAACAAATACTGCTGTGAACTGAAAGAAAAGTGTTATTTATTGTCTACCAGAATGTAACCTTACCATAGAACTGTTTAAAATCAGTTTGAAAATAAAAATAATCATAATAATAATAACTTTATAAAAACATAGCAATGATGCAGAAATGCAACAGTAATGAGGCAGAGTAGGCAGGTATATAAATTTGTGTTATAAATTGGAATTCACTACAAAAACAAAGAAATACAACCCCAAAAACCTATTTAATATTATAATAACGAAATACAAGTTCAAAAGCATATTTAAGTAAACAAAATATAAACAAAAATTAATTACAAAAAGAATCAAACAGATAATAAATGAAAACATTCTAATGCATGTTAAAAGCAATATAAAGTAAATGAATTAGTGAACTCAAACAAACAGTAGAAATGAAATATGCTTAACAGCAAATTGTTTATGCCCTACACATATCACAAATAAACTGAACCAACTCATTTTCCATATCTGTACAGTCACGAGCCCACAATTCACACCTGCAGCAGATGTGAATCACTTTTCCTGAGTAGTTCCATATTGTTCATTGCAATATATGCAATAAGTATTTTCATCATCATTTTCTGGTTCTTTAGGGCTTTTCTGCCCCTTTTCTTTAGTGAACTTTGAATCCGATTTCTCCAAATCCATTGCCCTTCTGCAAGTTCCTGATTTTTCAATTTCAGCCTTACCTTCTAGTGTGGCTTTGTATGGGGATCCAGTTATTTCTTCTGCTTGTTGTTGTTTGCGGCCAAATCAAACCATAGCAAAACAACCAGGAACAAGATCGGCAACACTACCGAAGATGCCCCATAGTCATGATTTAGAAACATTAAGTGGAACCCTGAGAATAGTATACCAAGCCATAATCTGGCCATGTGAATAAGATGATGTTTTATCCTTCTAACAGGAAAAATAACTTTTGTTATTATGGAATTATAACAAAACATGCCAATTCTATATAAATGGAAGCAAAATATTATAATAAATTGAAACAGACAACTTATTTGATATTTCAACTATGCTTGTTGGAGAACAACACAGACACCACACTCAACAAGCCGTCATTAAAACTCAACTGTCTAGCCTCTAAAGAGAGCCTCCTTTTATTTTGTTTCAAAGAAAATTTAATTGACGAACTTGCCTCGTCCTCCCCTATCTCTGGATGACAAAATTAGAATTTTGTATGAGTACTAGTTGCAATTTTTTCATTGTGTTATATGGGAGTTTACTGTATATAATTAATTTTAAAAACTTTTCTGTTTTATGCTCTTATCAAATTTTGTCAATTCTGATTTTTATTCATAAAATAACTTTATTAAAACTTTAAATACTATTTGTTTATTTTTAAATAATTAATAAAGTCTATATAATAACAAGTAATAGTTAAAACAATCTAAAATTATATTAATTATTATTATATTTATTTAAAAAAATATTTTATTGAATAATTGAAAGTTTTATAATAAAAGTTCTTATTTCAATACTTTATAAATTTTGAACAAATTCTAAACATGATAAAAATAAATGATACTTTACCTGTTTTCCATTATGCGTTACAGACTGCAAAATCGTCCGTAAAGTTTTGAATCCTACTGCTACATCTAATAAATGTGCAGCAAAGAAAAAATGATTGAAATTTCCCATCACAGAGAATGTAAAATACCAAAGATTGTACAGGAAAGACTGAAAAAAAAAATTAAATTTATGTATAAATTATTAATCTATAAAAAAAAAAATACATTTTGTTTTCTATAAAATAAAATAATGTTCATATTTCTGTTGGAATTAATAGTTATAAGCATAGATAGTCAGTCAAGTAAATTAATATTATATAGGTTTTTTTTGGAGAAACTAAGAAGTTTTATTATTTATCAATTTATCATCCAGATCAGGGCTTCTTAAACTATGGGTCGCAACCCCATTTGGGGTCGCTTAGCAAAATCTTGGGGTCATGAGATTTTAATGCAAAATATTGAAAATAATTTGTGAGAGTTTGAAAATGAGTTTGAAAGTGAGGCATGCTTTGTGTCATAGGTTTCGTGAGTTGCGCTTTGTGCCACTTCTGGTGCAGTGAGACAGTGATTCAGCAACACTGATTGTAGTGTGAACTAGCATAGTGTTGTCGCTTTTCAGTGTATTCAGTTGTCTCTGTTCCATTGTAACACAAGAGTGAACTGTGGTAGCACACCATTATTGTTTTTGCAAATTTGTATATATCTTTATTTTATATTTTTTGTGTCACGNAGCCTTACCTTCTAGTGTGGCTTTGTATGGGGATCCAGTTATTTCTTCTGCTTGTTGTTGTTTGCGGCCAAATCAAACCATAGCAAAACAACCAGGAACAAGATCGGCAACACTACCGAAGATGCCCCATAGTCATGATTTAGAAACATTAAGTGGAACCCTGAGAATAGTATACCAAGCCATAATCTGGCCATGTGAATAAGATGATGTTTTATCCTTCTAACAGGAAAAATAACTTTTGTTATTATGGAATTATAACAAAACATGCCAATTCTATATAAATGGAAGCAAAATATTATAATAAATTGAAACAGACAACTTATTTGATATTTCAACTATGCTTGTTGGAGAACAACACAGACACCACACTCAACAAGCCGTCATTAAAACTCAACTGTCTAGCCTCTAAAGAGAGCCTCCTTTTATTTTGTTTCAAAGAAAATTTAATTGACGAACTTGCCTCGTCCTCCCCTATCTCTGGATGACAAAATTAGAATTTTGTATGAGTACTAGTTGCAATTTTTTCATTGTGTTATATGGGAGTTTACTGTATATAATTAATTTTAAAAACTTTTCTGTTTTATGCTCTTATCAAATTTTGTCAATTCTGATTTTTATTCATAAAATAACTTTATTAAAACTTTAAATACTATTTGTTTATTTTTAAATAATTAATAAAGTCTATATAATAACAAGTAATAGTTAAAACAATCTAAAATTATATTAATTATTATTATATTTATTTAAAAAAATATTTTATTGAATAATTGAAAGTTTTATAATAAAAGTTCTTATTTCAATACTTTATAAATTTTGAACAAATTCTAAACATGATAAAAATAAATGATACTTTACCTGTTTTCCATTATGCGTTACAGACTGCAAAATCGTCCGTAAAGTTTTGAATCCTACTGCTACATCTAATAAATGTGCAGCAAAGAAAAAATGATTGAAATTTCCCATCACAGAGAATGTAAAATACCAAAGATTGTACAGGAAAGACTGAAAAAAAAAATTAAATTTATGTATAAATTATTAATCTATAAAAAAAAAAATACATTTTGTTTTCTATAAAATAAAATAATGTTCATATTTCTGTTGGAATTAATAGTTATAAGCATAGATAGTCAGTCAAGTAAATTAATATTATATAGGTTTTTTTTGGAGAAACTAAGAAGTTTTATTATTTATCAATTTATCATCCAGATCAGGGCTTCTTAAACTATGGGTCGCAACCCCATTTGGGGTCGCTTAGCAAAATCTTGGGGTCATGAGATTTTAATGCAAAATATTGAAAATAATTTGTGAGAGTTTGAAAATGAGTTTGAAAGTGAGGCATGCTTTGTGTCATAGGTTTCGTGAGTTGCGCTTTGTGTCACTTCTGGTGCAGCGAGACAATGATTCAGCAACCCTGATTGTAGTGTGAACTAGTATAGTGTTGTTGTCGCTTTTCAGTGTATTCAGTTGTCTCTGTTCCATTGTAACACAAGAGTGAACTGTGGTAGCACACCATTATTGTTTTTGCAAATTTGTANTCTATAAAATAAAATAATGTTCATATTTCTGTTGGAATTAATAGTTATAAGCATAGATAGTCAGTCAAGTAAATTAATATTATATAGGTTTTTTTTGGAGAAACTAAGAAGTTTTATTATTTATCAATTTATCATCCAGATCAGGGCTTCTTAAACTATGGGTCGCAACCCCATTTGGGGTCGCTTAGCAAAATCTTGGGGTCATGAGATTTTAATGCAAAATATTGAAAATAATTTGTGAGAGTTTGAAAATGAGTTTGAAAGTGAGGCATGCTTTGTGTCATAGGTTTCGTGAGTTGCGCTTTGTGCCACTTCTGGTGCAGTGAGACAGTGATTCAGCAACACTGATTGTAGTGTGAACTAGCATAGTGTTGTCGCTTTTCAGTGTATTCAGTTGTCTCTGTTCCATTGTAACACAAGAGTGAACTGTGGTAGCACACCATTATTGTTTTTGCAAATTTGTATATATCTTTATTTTATATTTTTTGTGTCACGAAAAAAATCACAATCATAAATGGGGTCATGAATAAAAAAAAGTTTAAGAAGCCCTGACCTAGATCTTTTCTCTCAAATTTACAGCTTTATAATTATAATTATTAGGAAGAACAGAACAAAGCTAAAATAACTGAACAGGTCATGAATTTCTAGGGATTAAATGTTTTGGGAGCAAACATCCCATCATCAGATCTTACAAGCTTTGAACAAAAACATTGAAAATGCATTAAAAATCTTTGAATATTTGGAAGTTTCAAACAACTCATTTAAATATTTGAACATGTAATGAAACATTAAACAAAATAACAAAAAACATAAATCAGAAACAAATAAAATCAAATAAAAAATAATAAACATCAGACAGAACTGGAATACACCATTATGTAAATTTGTGCTATATCTTATGAGGAGTGAAGCTCATTAAATAGGTTGAGTAATAGTTCTAGTGTGGCTTCACAGAGCTTATCTGTGGATTGGAATCTGAATTTTTTTTTTCTTTGTTTAGGAGAGGATCCACATGATTGAGCTAGTAAGTTCTTTGGCAGTCCATATAAGTAGATGTCTAGCAATATCTATCATAATTGCAGTGTCTTGCTAAACAGGCATAGTGTTCCTATTGCAAATTAACTTTTTAGTGAGAGCCATAGTTGTTAGTCCTTTCCTAATATTCTCTTTGTGTTCAGTGAGTCTACTCGTGCACACATAGTAGGTATTGCCAACATAAAAACTGAGCTCTTCCTTCTTGTTCGGCATAACTGAGATTTTGTACATACCTGCTGATAGTTTCTTTGGATTCACATCTTTTTTTCATTTCTGACTTGGCCATAGATGGTTAATGGACAGACTAGTAATTTTAACTTTTTAAAACAGTGTGTTTCTGTAATTATCTGGTGGAGTTCATGCCTGTTATAGTGAGGTTCTTAATTGCTTTTGTCTCTTCTGGCTTATGTTTGGTTTTCTTGTGGCTACACGCCTGTTTTTCTTTTATTAATATTGTTATTATTATTATTATTAGTCCGTATAGTTTTAGTTTAATTTAAATTCTAGAACTTTCCTTCCTTCTGATTTCTTTGTTCCTTTGTCTCGGATTTCCAAGAACTCGCCTCACCCCTAACCCATCAGGGGGTAGCCTTAGAACAAAAGACGAAAACGGGGCTGGAAGAGAGGAAAACAAAGGGTTTTTAGGCATTCTTAGGCCGGACTCGGAGAGCGAGAGACGTGTGGCAGCAGGCTCTGGAACGGAAAGTTGGGGGAGCGCTGCAGAAGGAGGCCATAAGAAGCGGATTGACAGAAGAATCTGGTCGACGATTATAAGACAAACGCCAAAACGGACCCAAATTGTTCTAAAAGGAAGAACAGCCGAGAACGAAGCCGAGACGAGGAACGGTGGAGAACCAACAGGAAAATTGGGTACCCTCTGTCCTTTAATTCTTCTTATTTCCCCTTTCTATCTTTTCTATCTCTTAGTTTAATTTAGTTTTAAGTTAGTTTAAGTTTACGCACGCAACTAATTTTGTCGGGAGGTAGTTACCGAGAAAGAAACTACCGGTCTATTGGTACATCTGATCGCTCGGGATCTTGGAAATGTGTGTAGGTAACAGCGGGAATCCGAACTTATTCTGTATATATATTAATGTTAGCGTGAAATTAAACTTGTTTAATTAGTAAAACGTGTCTGTGTTTTCCTGTCCACGCTAAACATTTTCACATTCTTATAAATGTCTGTAACAGGTTAAGGATACAGGAAAGACAACCAAAAAATCCAAACAAGTCAGAAAAGCAATGTTATAAAGAATGATTGTCAAAGTTTCAGAACACAAAAAATATAGCAGATAACAATGAGAAGATTAAAATACAGAAGTTAACAAACAATAATTACTAAAAAAGTATTAACATAACCACGGTTGATGTCTTCTCACAGCCCTTTCTATCGTTATATTGTTTTAGAAGGCCAAGAATAGCCAAGTACAATAATGCATTAATGCAATTATTTTTAATTGTAAATCTTTCAAAAAGGACATCTTCAATAAGAGTGTTTGAGAGCCAAGATGATGTTGGATAATACTTGAGAAACAGTATCAGATTTATGGCCTTTATGCCAGTTGATAGTTTTTAGGATTTTCTTCAAAAGTATCAACATAAAAAAAGTAAAAATAAAAACATTAAGTCATAGTTAACCATATTAACCAATCATCATAGATTGTTACATGATATTGGAATAGAATTTCTTGAAGAGAAACTTATGCTTATCATATTCATGGGTTTTCCATCTGTGTATGACCAATTAGTTAGAACAATGGTTCCCAATTAGTGGTACGTGTACCCCTGGGGGTACGCAAAATTGCATGAAGGGGTATGCGTGGCAATCTAAAATCGGTCAATTTAAAATTTAAATGCATGAGATGAAGCAATCAAAAAAATAATGGGTGGACCATCAAAAATTCGGCAATTTACAACGTGATGTCGAATGCATAAATTCGTTTATTTATAACTATAAATATTCTCGAAATTTCATTAAAAAAATGCATTTGTGACACTACCTAAACGAAATTCTTATGCAAGAAACAATCATTATCATCATGTCAGCGAAGCAACAATAAAATATTTACTACCATTTTGCACAACATACCTCTTCAAGAGCGGATTTCCCGCCATAACATGAAAACTTAACATCGTCACCGACTTCAACTCAAAGATGACTTGAGACTGAAGCTGACCAAAAAGCAACCAGATTTTACAAAGTTGTGCAAAGAAAATCATGCACATTTGTCGCATTAAAATTAAATAACCTTATGTTATTTTCATTATTATTAGAATTGTATTTTAAAGGTAATAAATGTAAAAAAACTTATTCTTTTAAACTCTTCTAACTAGCTGTCTACCCACAGCTTCGCCTGCAATATATTGAATTTTCTCATGGGAATAAGATATTTTCTCACAGTAAAATGTAGCCCATGTCCATCTCCAACATGTAAGCTATATCTATGCCAAATTTTATTAAAACCTGTTCAGCGGTTTAGACATGAAAAGGTAACAGACAGACACAGAATTACCTTCGAATTTATAATATTAGTATGGATTAATATGAATTTCTGCTATAAGGGGTACGCGAGTTTGAGCTCTTTCTTGAAGTGGTACACAGGAATAACTAATTGGGAACCACTGAGTTAGAATATTTGAACAAAATAAAGATAGTCTGGATGCAAAAGAAGTAAAAAGAAAACTACTGCTTAAAGAAAAAGGAGTGGAGCACTATAAATAAATTTAAAGAAAATAATAGAAGTAGGGAAATGAAAGTATTAAAGACTACTTCACAGAAGCAAGAAAAACAAAAGCAAATTGCAGCAAGACAATAGTAAAAATTAGAATAAGAAGAATAAGTGTCACTGTTGCAGAAAACTCAGTCACTATAATCAAGAGTGCCAACATAAAATGAAAGGAAAGAAAAAAGTGGTTGAGCAAATTAAACAGAATGGTAATCTAATGCCATATTTCAAAGTACAACAAATCCAAATAAAGCTGTACATTAAGCTTTGTATTCAAAAGTGCACAGAAGTGTGAGAATCCTGGAGCTGTTTTTATATAAATTTTCAACAAAAAAAGAAGATTTAAAAATGTTTCCCTTTTACCATCTGTTTCCCATGGAGTTAGAAATGAGAGAATAGCAAATATTGACTTAACTACCAACAAGTCCTTTCCTCCCTCACATTGACCTGCAAAATTATTGCAATTATGTGAGAAAGTTGACACTTAACTTTAGTCTGAGGAGGAAATCTAAAACAATTGAAGGAAATATGAAACCTTTGTTTAGTTTTCATTGGCCAGCTATGACATCTTTGACATGTCATTGCTACCAAACAAACGGTTACCTGATCAGATTCCCACACTTACAGGGGATATAATGATAGCACATCTGATGTTCAAGGTGGACATACTCTGAAGATGACAATATAGAATCGTCCCACCATAATAGTCCTCAAAGGATGTAAAGGAGTCAATGTCCGACCGTTATTTTTTGTTTTGGGGCGTTATGTTTATTTAATTATTTTCTTTTTGGGGTTCTTTTTTTGTTAAGGACAAACTCCCGAGCATCTGTGACCATGAAAGAAAAAGCAAACTTAGTTTGCATCAGTGCCTGATCCTGTAACGACAACTTATGTAAATTAAGACAGTGCGGAGCTGCACTCGAGGTAGAATAAAAGGCGGCACATCCACGACAGAGGTAGGTAGCTTCAGGTGACCACTGTGGGAGCGACAGCAGTGATAAACTAGAGGAAATAGTATCTTTTGCTGTAAAATCATATTGTTTGAGGTGGAAATAAAAATATTTTCTGTTGATTAGAAATACGTACAAGTTTCTTTGATTATTGATTTTGTTACTACTTTACAATTAGTTAACTTTTTGTTCGGGTCAATTAACCCATTATTTTTTTTGTTGTCAATAGAATTAAACTTTATATTTATTGTTAATTATTGTCTGTGGTGGTGGAAATTATTGTTTTTTTTATTTGGAAAGTCCAGGCCTGGTACTTGAACCCCACTATTATGTAACCCCTTTTGGTTTCATAAACGGTGGGTTACAAGGATTACATTTATAATTTTTGTGCAAAGTGCAAAGTTCCTCCCAGTCCTCCACAAATAATTTAATGCTGATACAATGGCCTCTACTCCAAAAAGAGTTATGATAATATAGATGTAAACTCTCTCTCTCTCTCAATCTTAGCTTTCAAATTAGAGTCAGTAGATATTGGCTCATATAGGTATACTTGTACAACACTAATAATTGTAAATGCATATAGTCTAGGTCACCGACCTCTAGCTTAGGAATACATATCTATAGTTGTATCTTACGCTTGTATATGGTATCTTATGCTTTATTTTTATATTAAACTTATTATTTAGTTAACCTGTCAACCTGTCTTTATTCAGAGAATGGTCCCCTATTGACTTACCCATTGTGCTCCCCACTAGAAATTAGAAATGCCCTGTTATTTGCTGATAAATTCTGCAGAATTCGCAAGTTAGGATGCATTAATTCAATCCTAACTGGTGTCAGTCCTGATGTCAAAGGAATCTTACAAATCCCAACAACCAGTAATATATACAGCCATCCAGTAACAATTAAGCGGCCTTGACCAGGTCGACACCAATCCAAAGAGGTTTAAACTGATATTAATCAACCCCTCTGGCTTCTCATAAAAGACAAAAATACATCACAACACCTATATGGGCACGAAGACTGTGGGATGAATAAATACATCACTGTACAGAGAAAAGTTAAAAGTAATTTTTTCTATTTTCCAAAAATAAATTATTGAAATATTTTGCTTTTTAATATTTGAAAGTGCTAGTCAAAAATACTTATTTAGAATTATCATTTAGCTTCAATATAACTTCCAAGTTATAAATGTTATTAAAAAACTTTACTTGACATTCTGTTTTAGTGTATTTTAGATTCAATGTAATAAATTATAACTAGAGATTCTAGTGCTTTCTCTGTCACTAATTCCACTGCATTATTTTAATGATTTTATTAGACCAATTTTCATAATAATAAATATTTAACAGATCAACTTAGCTCAATCTCATTAATCTATTACAGCAACATCATACTACTTGAATAAAAATTTCAGAAAAAGTTATGCAGTATTTTTTCAAAAAATATTGCATAGCCAATGCTTTAAACAATACAGGATGATTGCTTGTGAAAAGATGTGAGTATCAAATCCACTGTTTATTCACAACAGCTTAACATGGAAAATGACAAGATTTCTGATTTTGATACCATGGAAGTGATATATGACTTATTTTACTGTACAATAAATACTGAACAAACTTGTCAACAAAACTGATTCTGTTGAAATGTCTATTTTTTTAAAAAAAATATAAAAAATTCATTGGTGAACATACAGAAATTAAGGTGCATCTTAGATTGAATTGTATCTAATATTTGAGTAAATATAGTAATAGGATTTCATTGAAAAAAACATTTTAAAAAATATCACAAATTATATATACAAGTACTATAATTAGACATCATTTTTTGGTTTTTTTGTATGTATTTGATTTATTTATAATTAATTAAAATTATATAAATGTGAAAATTATTATTTATAAAAACTTAAAAACTCACATTATCTGTAAATGTGACTCCAGCTTTCCATATTTGATATTTCCAGTCCATGCTAGTAATTCTAAAAATATCAAATAAAACTTAATGTATTATTGCTAATTTTACATTTTTTTACAAATAAAATTTTTTTATAAAATTAATAAATAATCTTAATACAATGAATTCTTGTTTTATGACTGATTTAGGATATTTTTAAATCAATCTACAGTGGTGGCCAAAAGTAGAGCTACCCTTGACGTATGCTTTAAAAATGCAACCTCTATTTTGTTCACCACCTACTACATAATTAATATTGTGGTAGTTGAAAAAACACCAAAAAGAAAAAAAAAAAAAGTCAAAATACTCAATTAACTCAAACAGATTTTATTTTAAATCTCATTTACAAAAGAAAAAACAAAGTTTTTATATTTTACACTGTGACAAAAGTAGAGCTACCAAAGAAAGTATGCAAATTTGTCCAGTATTCTGTGGCGTAACCAGAGCTTCTGATCACTGCATCACATCTATGTTTCATTGAATTAATCCCTGTCACATCAAATTCTCAGCATTTAGGTCATTGATAAGAGCAGCATATACCCATTGTACCAACATCTAAGATGATGTAATGAAGCCAAATTACATCATAAAAATTGCAGAGCAATAGTCAGCAATCAGATTAAAATAGTGCAAAATTTTATCAGAACTTTTCAAGCATCAAAATGTAAACATAACATCAGTGAATCAGAAATGAAGAGTTTTCTTAAATTATATCCCATCTTTAAGAAAGATACATAGGAAAGCAGCCAACGCTAATAATATCACCTTAGTATATCGACGCAAACCAACAATCTTCAAAATCCTAAGGAATGATAAAAAACCATATAATCGCAATTCTGCCTTGAGGATCTACTCCATCCCGATAGATGATCAATGTTTCTAATCAAAACTGGTCTATGTGGGTGCCACTGGACGTAATTTACAACAATGACTCAGGGAACATAAGTAAGCAATTGAGAAAAATCTTGATAATACAAATACTGGCAGCTTACTTGCAACATCAGGAGATAAAAGTAAACTGGGAGCAAGCAAAAATCATCAGACCCACATCTAATATACATACTATATGTTATCTAGAAAAATTAGAAATTTATAAGTGTGAGAGTCTGGAAGGGGCAATTTAGCAATTAAATTAATTAGTTAAAACTTAGGAGAAGTGGAAAACCCCACTTCCTTTCTCTCACCCACTCATATTCTGATAGATAAACCTGATCAAATATCAGTCTAAGTCAACAATCACTAGGATGTTTGGACTTATGTTACAATCTTAATCAAGACTGTTGATTATTAATGATGTCAAATGGATGGAATTATGAGGTAAGAGAAGTCATAAATGGCTAGAAAATAGCAATAATTCTGCCGGTTTGTGACAGCTCATATCAGCATAACCTAGACACAACTTGAACTTAGAACACACTAAATCAAAGTCACTTGAGTCAATTCTCATGCACAACGTGTATAAAAAGGGGTCGCACCAGATCGGGGCAGACAATCTGTCTAATACATGGCTCCATTTACAAAATTTAATTAATTAGTCATTTTGTTAACAGATTTATTAAATATTAGCATTTCATAAAATATCCACATGTAGTGTTCTTGTGTGAGCTGAAATTCACAAGTGGTGTCAGACATCCTGATCTGAAGAAAACCAGATATTTCTATCTCTCACAATAGCAGCATGTAATCTTCACTAGCATAGATTATCTGCATAAAATTACATTAATAGACTTAAAGCAAAATCCATAAAAACATGACTAATCTAGATGTAATTTAGACATTTAACATACTAAAATGTTTTAATATTTTTGTTCATTAATTCTGATTTTTATATTTATATACTGTATATATGTATATGATAAAATAATAAATATTTTTAATAATAATGTATTAATACTTACAAGCTCCAGAATCCAGTAATTTCTTCTTCTTGTCTGAATGACCCACTTTTATCCATTCCCAATAAATTACTAATTGCTTCATAATCATATGTTTCACTGTACTTTTCTCTTACCTATATACAATTTATTTTAAAATATTTTCAAATTAAATACTGTATTTATTTTTATAAGAAATTTTATTATTAATACTCACTCTTTTTTTGACAAACTTGTCCCAATAATTTACAGGAAATGACCTATAAAAAATAATTTTGAAATATTTTATGATCTGAGAAAGTAATCTTTATAGAAGTAACATACAGTATCTAGAAAGATCCAGTGTATTAACTCTTAGATGATTAGAGCTTTTATTTTACACTTTATAATTTGGAGAAAAGCAACATGACATTAAAATAATTAAACAACATAAAACAATGCTCTTTATGTTGTTTCTATGAAGGCATAGCGTTTAAACAATTTGCATTGTTTATTAATAGTTTTTGTAAAAACTTTATGTAATTTGACAAGCACTGTACTTAATTTATTCAAAAAAAAAAAAAAATTATAAAATACAAAAGATATTTGGAAAAAATCTCTCCAAAATGATACTTGTAATACTGTTTACAAGCACTGATAAGATAAGTACTTTATGACAAAAGTTACTAGTCTGCTCAATCTTGTTTAAACAATAGTGATGAATCATTTATGATCGATTCAATCAAAATGATGTAAAATCAAGTTGGTTGAATGACACAATTTATCTTTTGAATCAAATTGTTCACTTTTCAAATCACTTCAACTTCCACTACAGATACACTCACTTTTAACTTCCAAATGTTTGAGATTGTAATCTAGTTAGAAAGCTTAGACAGATATGCTATTATTTTATCTGTTATTTCAAAAGATTTAATTGAGTTTTTAAGATATTTTCAAATTTCATTCTGTGTAATTGTGTATGTATGTGTGTATGTATGTATATATACACACACACACACACACAATATATATATATACTAGCAGATAGGCCTGGCATTGCTCATGCAAAAAGTAATGATAGTGAAGATTAAGATTATTACATTATAGTCAACCTTATCCATTTTCACAGAATGCAAGAATTGGGCCCCCCTGTTTCTGGACTAATTAGAGAATTTTTAGATGGGTCTAAAAATATGTTCGATTTCCCACAAAAATGAAAAAAATTGCATCTGCACCTTGCACATTGCTTTCTCTTAACAATTCCATTGTTATGTAACACTTCCATTGTTCTTGGAAAAAGCATTAGCTCTAAATGTTAAATTGTCTATTAATATTTGATGTAAGCATTTGTTTACTAAGGCACTTAAGGGCCAATCTGACTACTAAGCTTTTACTTAAAAAAATAATCTAGGGTAGGCAACATTAGCAGAGCTTCATGTAATACATAATAATCTAATGGGCTACAAAGTGAAGATATCATTCCAGGAAGAATGATGATCCTCCTAGTTTTTCCTAAAACATTTGAGGTTGGGTCTAAAACAAATCTGCAATTCTTTGATTCATAACATATTTTTCAATCTTTCAGATACTTTGAGTTGGTATGAATTGCCAAATCAAAAAATCTCATTCAAAAATTGAAGTTTTAAATGAGTTAAATCAAGTGATTTTCAGACCTTCATGAAGTTCATTTCTATAATCAATGTCAAAAATATGATTGAAATATAAAATTTTCAATTGTTTATTGGAATAAACTGCAATGCTTTCTATTAAGGTGAATACAATTGATATTTTGACACTGTAAGAATAAATTTATATATTCATAAGTAACCTTTCTACAAGGCTGCATTTATGAATGGCAGTGGTGTGCCGTCATTAGAAGCATTGGAAGCGCCGCTTCCCTCGTATTTTATAAAAAATAAATACATATTAATTTTAATTATATGAAAATAATCGCACAATACTTTATTATAACCGCATTATGTATCTTATTACAAATTTCTATACTACACGTGAAAAGAAAGATAAGATCGCTATTGTATATTCGAATATTAGTGGCGGAGTGGAATCTCTGTATTTTCAGCATCCAAAAAGCCAGATTCGCGCATGCGCTTTACAGAGCACCAACCTCACCCAGTTTAGCCGGTGGAAGCCTAGGACCTTGGGTGGCAGCTACACGTATAACGCTTCCAATTCTATCCGGGACCAGTTCTGGGCTGTTAGCCGCCCGCCTGCTAGATATTTGGCCGATTACATGAATAACGAGTAGATTCATAACTTAACCCAACAGATAAGAATTTACTGGTATGTTTTTACGATAGTTCTGTATAGTTGACAGGAGTTAAAAAAATCCATTAAAATATCTGATATTTTAATTCCGCTCTCCGATTTTATATTACTCACGGATTTCAATGTTAAACCAGTGATATTACGATTTCGTATGTCCCATCTCTAAGGGGATGTAGAAAAAACGTGTACAATTCTTGTATAATGTTAAAAAATTAACCGTTACTTCGACAGCGTCATTTACAACTAAATTTAATGAATGAGAGAGATGCACCAGGTACAGAAAAGGCTCTAGAATTTATTTTCCTTAAATTTACGATTTATGTATCCGTTGTCGTAAAAATTTGTCTTTCCACTTTTTTCCCGAGACTACAAATATTCGAGTACAAAGTAACTGGTTTCGACTTATTTCTACTTAAGAAGTAGTTAAATAATTAAGCGATTAGGGAATTGGGGACGTAAACAAAACCCTGATGAAAGAGCCGGAATTTTACTTAAACAAAAGCCTAACCGGACCAATATCTAGCCGAGTACAGTGGGACTGATTTCTTCGTAATATTAGATGTAATAAAGACAGAAATTTTTCCAGTTCAATGAAAGTGAGTAAAAGTTGTAAATTTTGGAAATTTCCGTGGACACCTGGTCTTAAAACGAATTACAGTAGTTAGAAAACAAATGACTTTTAAGTTTAACAAATTTAGATTTTTACAGCTATGATGAGAAACGTTTAAAATTTACAACAACCCTGTCGCGTCCTTTGAGATATACTAGTGATGAGACAAAAGAGACATTAACCGGTATCGGCACCCTCGGGATTTGGCAAGCATGCACCGCACCGCACACCTACCAAGACCGTCTCTGATTCCATCCACGAGCCACTGGTAGGGAGCAATTTTAACTAGGTGGATTGTTTTAATATTTAAAAAGTAAAGACTATTTTATGTTATTTTTATGTACGTTTCTTCACAAAACTATATTCATACAATCGAATATTTTGTACCAGGTATGTATAATTGTATATTGATCACACATTTTATTTTAACAAGTAAGTTTTTATAATTTTATTTTTAATTTTAGCCCTTATATTATAGCTAGCAATTTAGAATGTAATTGTGATATTGAAAATTTATTTCAAAAAGTTTTGGCTCGAGACCTTATAATGAAAAAGAAAACATTATTAAAAGAGAAAGATCAATGCCTAAATTAAATATAAATATGTCAACAAAAAAATTTGTTCGACATTTTCACGATAAAATTTATGAAGATATAAAATGGCTCTATGGATGCATAAAAATTAGTGATGTAACGAATATTCAGTAACTATTTGGTATTCGGCCTATTTTTCTCTATTCGGCCGAATACCGAATATTTAATCACTATTTGGCTGAATACCGAATACCTAAAAACAGGAGTAAGAAATAACAAAATCACAGTATATTAATCATTTTGGTATTTAGATTTTATGTTTTCAGGTTAGTATTATTTGTTTATATTTATTTATAACTTATAACATGCACAAAATAAAAAAGAAAATAATAATAGTCACATGTATTCACAATTTATAATTACAAAGATCAACACACGCACACACGTATACACCTATTCATTCGAAAATCGTCGCACATCTGAGAGTCTGACCTTGCCTATCTGTGAGCCGCCAGGGAGGTTGGAAAAGCCTCTCCGATATCGCCAAAGGTTGGTGATCTACTTTCTTGTCAAGGATGGCGTTATGTTCAGTTACGCGTTATGCGAGTGGAGGAGAGTCAGAGGGGTCGACGATAAGACGTTGGCAAAGTCGAGTAACGACACCATTTAAAAACAAAATAAGAGTTTATTAAACTGACTAACTAAAGAAAACACAAAACTCCGACTTCGCGGATGAGAGAGAAGTATCTCTCTCTCATCCGCGAATTCTCTCATCCCATTCACAATAATATTTCATACCTCTGAGATAATATCGGATGGATACTTCTGACTTAAATTTCTGAAAGGCGGTGCGAGGTGTGGCACAAGGTGGAGGAGGTCTGCGATGGGGGGAGACTTCGATGTCTGACTTCGTCGTTGTTCGTCCGATTGGCGACTCCCCCAATTAAAGAAGGAGGAGGCTTTTTATACGTTTTGCCGTGAGAAAAGTCGTCATGTGACCCATTGTCTTAGCAGGTGTGAGGTTAAAGGTGGTCCAGAGCTGCAATAAATCGTCGAAGTTGGACTTCAATTGTCAACATTAAGACTTGCAGCAGATGACTGCTATTGTTAGATGGACGAATGTTTATGTTAAAGGAGAGAATTGTAACGTGATACTTAATATGTTTATTTAAGAGAGATAGTTGATTTCGTTTTTCTGACGATGGGTTTTTCTTTTTTTTCTTCCAGTAAGGTAATAAATTTATTCAAAATATGTTAGTTGTTAAAATTTGAAAGAAAGAAAAACAAATTGGGTTGCCCACGGGTCAGATCTCACATATCCTTCTTTCTAAGCGCTTGTCTTTGCTCTTCTCTTTCTCTTTCCTATATCGCTCTAGTTCACGTATGCCTATGCATACATCATGATACACGCTTACGATACTTTCGATTCGTCACTTTTCCGTCGTAGATTTCCCATTTTACAATTACGTGACTTATAGCCTGTTGATAACGGAGAAAAGAGACACATAGGACGTCGGAATAAGTCACCGTTATGATTTCACATATTCGAGACAGCTTGGTAGCCCGAACGGCCCCAGGCTTTCGCCCATGCATGCTAAGTGACTTTCATTACAAGTATTTAGCTTTCTGAAGTCTATGACAACAATTGTTTGGCATTGACAGCTGCAAATTTCACACCAATAAGCTGCCTCCACTTGTTCTATTATGTTATAAACTCAATTTCATATTTATTTTCACATTTTCACTTCGCGGTCCTTCTCTGTTCTTTCTCCGTTATTTACACATTTAGGTCATTTCATTGTTATCCACATTTGATATCATCATTTATCACATACTGCCATGACACTCTTGT